TTTCTTTTTTCTTCTCACCCCCTCCCCCAGGGCGCACCCGTTCGAAACTGCCACGAGTGTCTAGTTTTCATTACAAAGACAGGAAATAGGGAGGGTTGCCCGCTGCTCCGCGTCCCGTTTAGCTTAGTGCAGCGCGGAGAGAGGCCGGGGTGATTTCCCCATGAGGTTGCCCCCCCCACACACACACTTCTCCAGAAAGCCCCTGCCTCCTGCTTCTCTGGACCCTCCACTGTGGTGGCTGAGGTCTGTCACACGGGCCTGTGCGCGCGGACACGACCCAGGCACCCCGAGGCCTTGACCTTGTGGGAGCCGGAAGCTGGCAGAGGCGGCCCTCAGCCCCTGACCGCTGGCTGCCCGGCCAGCTGGCCTTGCCCGGGGCGGGTCTCTCGCACCTGGCTCTGTAATTCACAGAGTGTTTGCTTTGATGGTGCTGGCCCACTGCTCAGGGCTTGACATTGCATTTCAGAGGTTTACTGCGCCCCGTGGCTGGCACCCCGAGCTCCCCGCAGGTCCCCACGGCCCTTCCTAGACACTTAGCTCCCTGCTCCAGCCCGCGTCCTCTCCGCCGGGGCAGCCACGCCAGAGGAACCCTGGACAAGGGCCTCTGGGAAGAAAGAGGAAAACTAGACAACCATGGAGGCCTTTGGGAGGTGAGCAAAGTAGGACAGCACAACAAGTAGAAGGAAGGGACAGACACCTCCCCAGCGCGCCTTCCTCCTGGGCTGGCTGCGCAGACCCCTCCGAGGGCTGAGCCCCGGGTGGCATTTGCAGGAGGGCAGCAAGACCCGGGATGGGAGGCCCTTGGGCTCCGGGGGAAACCCAGCAGGAGGCCGTGGGCTCTGCAAAGCTTTCCAGGGGCTCCCAAGGACTGTGAAGGCCAGCTTCGCAGCTGGGATCAGCCCCTGGGTTTGAGATTCGAGGGACACGATGCAGGGACCTTCCCCGGCAGCCTGCAGGACGGGACTTCCAGTTGGGAGGAATTGTGGCGCTTTGGGAAAGGCACTGCTGTGTGTGGGGGAATTTAAAACACAGGCTGGGGGTCAGTGTCCAGCACTGAGGACTCTTGAGGGGAGACTGTCAGGCAGGGACTTGGCTTCTGCTGTCCCCCCTCAGGGACCCCAGCCGGTAGCAGGGCGAGTCGCCCTCAGGTTCTCCCTTCTCCCTGCTGAGGCGTTGGCTGCTCCCCGTTCAAAGTTTCCGGACTAACTTCTCAGGCCTTCATGCTGCTTTCAGACTGCAGCGGGCTGCTGGAACCCCAGGCCGCTGTGTCTCACATCCAGGGGACAGCTAATTAGGGCGCAGAGGTGCTCCGTGGCGGTGCCCAGCGGCCCTGTGCTGGGAGAAAGACCAGAGGGAACACGGGGGGGGGGGCGGCACAGAGGAGAGCTTCTCACCAGCCTCGGGGTGACGGGCCGCGTTTTATTTTAAACCCCTGAGCTTGGCGGAGGGGCTGTGTTTGCAAGCATGGAGGAGAGGTTCCTGGGTCAGAGCCCCCCACACTGGTGACCTGATGGCCTGATGCGCGCCCCCTCCCACGCCCCCAGCAGATACAGCCGCTGGCCTAATTTTTGGATGCAAGAAAGTGCCCCTCTTGGCGCCCTGGTGGGGCGTGCGACCGACCGCGTGTGGATCTGTGTGTGAGAGAGAGAGCCCAGCAAACCGGGAAGCCGCGGGGCTGGTGCGCATGGAGACGGAGGCCAGGGTGGGGGCCGCGCACCCAGCTCTGGCTTCGGGAGGGTGGCTCCGGCCGGCCCGCCCCGCACCCTTGGGACGGACGCTTGGGGGATTCTGCCTTCAGGCTCGCTGAGGCTGTGTCCATAGGTCACCAGACACGAAGGGAACTCCTGGGAGGTTAGGCCAAGAAGCCAGGCGCCGCCAGTGCCCGGGGGTCCCCCAAGAGCGTGGCTTCCCCTGGAGTTTGTTTTACCGACTTGACGCAGCCCTTGCGTCGGGCCGCCCTGGGTGCCGAGGCCCCCGGCACCGCACGCGTGCGCTTAGGTTTTCAGCAGGCCGCGCCAAGGCGTCCCCCGCGGGCCAGCGGTCCCCGGCGCAGGGCGCAGGGCGCAGGGCGCGCGGGGTCGGGGCGGGCGGAGGGCGCCGGGGCCTCAGCGCTGCGCCCTCGGCCCGCCCCGCAGGTATCTACGAATGCAAGGAGAAACGCGAGGACGTGAAGTCCGAGGACGAGGACGGGCAGACGAAGCTGAAGCAGCGACGCAGCCGCACCAACTTCACGCTGGAGCAGCTGAACGAGCTGGAGCGGCTCTTCGACGAGACGCACTACCCCGACGCCTTCATGCGGGAGGAGCTCAGCCAGCGCCTGGGGCTGTCGGAGGCGCGCGTGCAGGTAGGACCGCGGGCCGGGCCCTCCCCGGAGCGCGGGGGCGCTGGGAGCTGGCCGGAGCCGGGCCTTGCGGGGCCGCACGGTTGGCACGAAGGGCGCGCGCGTGCCCTGGCTGACCGGCTCGCCCTTGGCCTCCGGGCTGTCAGGCTCGGGCCCACATTTGCCCCTCGCGTCCGCGGCTTTGGCACCACCCTCCTCTCCCCGCTGCCTCTCCATCCGCCTCCCTCCACTGCAGGGAGCAGAGAGGTGGGGAGGGGAGGCGAGGGGCGAGGGTGTAGGGGGGGCGCTCGCACCCCCTCGCAACTGGATGAGGGCGGCTGCAGCCCGCGCGGGGCCGGATTAGCCCGGGTGCGCGGGGCTCGGGGCGGGGGGGGGGGGGGCGCGGGCGCATGAATTCCTGGTGCCCCATCTGGCGAGCCACTGTCTGCGGGCGCCCTGGGTGTGCGCAGCACGTGCGCGGAGGGGCGCTCCGGCGGCCTTGCTCTCGCGCGGCGGGGAACGTGCAGTTCCGCGGATTAACGGGTTGCTGGGGGAGGGTACAACCGCAGATCCGCTGGCAAGTCGCTTCCTCCAGGAACTGCAGACCCCGCCTGGGAGGTCGGGCCTGGACCCTGGGCCTTCCCGTGCGTTCTCACGGTTCCCAGCAAGACAGCGGGGCCATGGCAAGCAGGACTGCAGGTTAGGACGCCGGGCTGCGGGGGCTGGTTTTGCAATAAGCGGAAGGAGAGATGGCCAGCCTGGGAGGGGGCCGTGACGAGCGAAGGGTTTCCAAGCCACGACTCTCCTAGTGGTTGTCGGGTCGCCGCCTTCCAACGGGACTGTCCCGGGATGTCGTTTTCTGGAAACGAAACCACACGCATGTGTTGCATAGGTCGCGTTTTTGCGAAACCGTCCATGGGAAGACAATGTCTGGGTATGTTTGGGCTTCCAAGCCTCTTCCATTTTTTCCCGTGCGTCGCTGACTGAAGATGCAATGCACCGCTTCCCGGGGGTCTGTTCAGACCTTCTCGGAGTGGCGGCGGCGGTTCCCAGGACCTTCCCGCGTAGGAGGGTGGCAGGGAGTGAGTGGGGGACAACAGGCACAGCAGCTCGGGGGGACCCTTTTCCCAGCCGGGTCCGTTTGCGCAGCTGTGGCTGCAGCCAGGCAAGCAGGGCAGGCGCGCTGCCGGCCGAAGGTGGCTTTTCTCACTGGCCAGCCTTCTCGGGAAGATGGATTGGGCTGCACCGTATAAATTAATGAAAAGATTAAACTTTTGCTGGAGGGGACATCAACTTGGATGTCATCTCCCAGTGTCTTTCTGCCCGGGATCGGTAATATCTCTCAGGCCTTGATGTACTGTTTCTATAAAAATAAATTACTTGTAATTGAATTGCGCACTCTTTCGTTCAGCAGTCTATTACTGAGGCACACACCTTCGCAGGACCCACCGAGGGCCTGGGAAATTGGTTCTTGGGTGGCCGCAGAGCGTCAGGAAGCCCTAAAACGAAAGGGTGTGTGTGTGTGTGTGTGTGTGGCGATGGTGGTGGTGCTCAGGGAACCTGAGTGGCTATCGATCCAGAGGCGAATTAAAAATGTAACGGCTGCAAATAATAATAAAAATACACACGGGTTACAAGCCACGATCCTGGCCACGGGGAAGAAACGGGAGTGCGCATGGGGACCAGGGCAGCAAGTGCTCATAAAAATCAATTAGTTAAAACATGTAGTTTGTGTGTGTGTGTGTGTGTGTGCGCGCACACACACAAGTCAGGGCAGGGCTGGGGAAAGAAATAAATTTAAAATAAAAAAGAGAGAAGGGGGGGGGATTGGACATGCACTGTGTCCCCATCCTGTCTCTGAACCTCCCGGTAATCTTTTTCGGTGCAGCCTGTCCCGTGTTCTTCAAGGATAGGGTTTCAATTTCGTGTGGAAATTTGCTGTAAATAAATTGAGGCGCCTCTGAAACCGGGCCTTATTAACCTTTTATTTTTAGTGCTGCGTTCCAACCTCCCCGTCACCCAGCTGTCAGGGTTATAATCGAAAGTTATGAGACCACGGCGAGGAGCAGGCGGTAATTTAATTACAACAAATATCTTTGGGTTTATGGCGCAGAGCTAAATTAAATGTCATTATTCACTGCCTCTAATGGAAATCAAAAGCAAATGAGATTACGGGGGCATTTGTGAAAGAAATCAGTGGCTGGTTCTTAATGAAGAAATAACTGTCCAAAGCAGTGTACGGCGCTTTACTTAGCATATTCAGGACTAATTGGAATTGATCGCGCATCACCCCAAGACTGATTTATTTTCGCTTAACGCGGAGGCTAATCCATCACTTTTATTCTTCATAACCTGGCCCCACGCGCCCCCCTTTCCGCCGAGGAAGGGGAAGTGAGTCGAGCTTTCCAGATTTCAATACGATTCTGTCTTTGAAAAATGTGCTTCCAGGAGGAGTTGGAGGGGTGTGTGTGTGTGTGTGTGTGTGTGTGTGTGTGTGTGTGTGTGGCAGGGGCTCTGGCGCGTCTGGCCTGAGAACGGGGTGCTGGACCCCAAGGAGAGGGAGGTGCCCAGGACGCTCGGAAAAGGTCGAGGCCTCGGCGAGGGGGGACCAGGAGCGCACGTTTTGGAAAAGGAGTCAAGATGTGTGAATTTCAGTTCGCAGTGTGTGTGTGTGTGTGTGTGTGTGTGTGTGTGTGTGAGAGAGAGAGAGAGAGAGA